TAGTTTTATGTGAATTTGCCAAAATATAACAATAAGTGTCACATAAGACGGAAAAAAATCTCCCATCTGCGAGCCATTTTGGCCTGCACTGTAAAAACAATAAAAGTTACATGAATGTAATGTAGAGTGAAAATGTATCTCTTAAATAGTTCTTAAAAAAATCCGTGACACCATATATCTATTTTTAATGTGTAAGCCATTACCACTAAAATAGGTACTTACAATAAAACTGTGATACAGTTCCTTCTTATTAAATGATGAAAAATAAATTATCATAGTAGGTATTTATGATTATTGAATTTTAATGAAAAACGTAGAATTATACAGTTTTTATTTTTTTAACGATATTACTTATTGTTACAAAAAAGGTTTTTTTAATATAATGACAAATAACCCATTTTTAGCTAGTAGGTTCATATTTATTGGAATCCCTGTATTTATTAATCAGCTTGCGATAATATTGGTTATAAACGATAATTTTGCAAAATAAAATGCAAAGTAAATAATATAGATTTTTATAGGTAAATCACCCCTTTCATCACCCTACGCCTATAAGTATTGCGATGTTGTAGCTAAGAACCAAGTTCCCATCTACTTCTATAGGGGAATTCATTATAATCGATTTAGCTATTAGGGCACGGAAGCGCAACAAACAAACTCACTTTCGCATCTATAATATTATATTATACTTACTAGTGATCCACTCGGGCATTGTACGGGCGGAATTTATTTTATCGGAATAAAATATAGCCTATGGCATTCGGACAAAATATCACTACATAGTATAAAAAAAAGTCGCTTTCTCTGTCCTTTGTATGCTTAAATCTTTAAAACTACGCAACGGATTTTGATGCGGTTTCTTTTAATAGATAGAGTGATTCAAGAGGAAGGTTTATATGTATAATACATGCATAATATAGTAGAGAAACACTGATAATTTTAGAGGTTTTTAATATAAGGTCGTAAATAAACACATTTGTTTGCGCTTACATTGCAAACGCTGGCTGAACCCAACGAGATAGATCAAAATAATGTACTACAGTATTGTACACCTTAAAAAGGTCTACAAAAAAGTCCGCGATGGTATATGCCTATCTCTTTGGTATAACCCACATAAACCATTTTTTAATTACTTATTACGAGAAAATAATGGCTTATTTACGAACAAGCGATTTTAAGCAATACAGCATTAATCCTTATCCAATTAAGTACCTTAAATACATTGTGCATGTAATATAGATCAATATAACTCTGTACAGCATGTAATTTAAATGAATATTTTCGAAGATATTACAGATTTAAAATGCAGGAACATACCGGTTCGGGCAGTACTGGCCGGGGGGCCGGCGGCGGCGCGTGTCTTTAGTAATTAGGTATTTAAAGAAATTCATTGTGTTAAATAGAAACCTGAGAACAAAAATATAATCTAAACTACAGCTCTACACCGAAGCGAAGCGAGGGCGGGCCACTAGTATTTAAATAAAGAAAAATGTAATAATAAATAATGTAGCTACCTTATGATGAAATTAAATTTGAAACCATTAACTGGTTTCTAATAGTTTGAGAGATTATTTGTTACAAACATACAAATCTTGCCTCTTTATAATATTAGTATAAATAGTTAGGATAATAGTATTTAATAGATAAAAAAATTAAAAAATAAGTAAGTAAGTAATAGGTTTATTTGATTATATTTGTAAAAGTTACTTAGCTACGTATTTACGTTATTCGGTATTTTTTTATACAAAAAAAATATTTGGAAAATAATTGCCATGATTGTACTATTTGCAACATGCGACATAAACATCATTGATTGGAATTATTGTATATAGGGTGATTAACAATATTTGAAGTTAACTTCTGGCATCTACATATTGGGTTTCTGTGAATTATGTAGGTATATCAAATTATGAGACTAGGATATGACACTGCATTTGTGTATATCACAATCTTAGAGCCGGACGTTGACATGACAATGCAGCCACTGCCAATTTTAAATAGTCGACGAATAAAAGTAAATGAATTTAATATTGCCTTTTTAATAAGTGCCAGTTTACTATAAAATTAACATACATTAGATATTTATGTAACGACTTGATTTAACTTAACACATTTTTGCGAAAATTGAGGCCCATCTGTAGCCTTGACCCCGCTCTAAAGTCTCTATATGTCTTAATATATCAATCTTTTAGACCTCTGCAAGGTATTTAATAATTCCCGCGATATTAATTCCCTTACTGAAGTAACAACACTACGGTATATAACGTCTTATATACTAACTCACTAAAAAGTGTAAAATAAAAAAGGTAAATTAAAAAAATCAAAAAACCCGACTGCTTAATTATACTTTAAATAAAAACTGAAAAGAAAAAAACAAGTCCAGTAGTCTATAATTCTGTTAATAAGGAACAAAGCTACTTTAACAGTAGGGACCCATTATTGAAAAATATTATGTATTCTTGAATATCAATGCCTTATATATCGTTTTTGACTACGCGATCATCCAACGGAGCTTCGTGGATTGTCCAATGTACCTTTTGGACAGGTAGCGGCCACGATTTTGTTCGTGTTATTGTATCTAGTGTATTAAATACTGTTGGCCCTCATCTAACCGGCCAGGGTGAGATCGACAAGGAGATGACGCAGGCTTTTGCAGAGAAGAAGAAGGACGACCCGTTCGACCACGGAGGAGATGCGGTTGCTTCGCGTCGATAACGAGGCGCTCAGGGTGAAAATGAAATCTTGCAGGATGAGATTGACACCCTCAAGGAGTAGGACAGGCAAGGTCCCGTCAGTAGGGACTCCTTGCCGCCAACACCTGGGAGGCAATCGAGGAGTTGAAAGGCTCGCTGGTTACCACTATCAGTGAGATGTTCGACACTCCATTGGCCTCCTTAGACTGCGCCAGCAAAAGGCAAGGCCCGAAAGAAGCCGGAGACAGGTGGAAAGGTTAAGGTGCCAAGCACCGCGGCGTTGGCCATGAAGTTAAAACCTAGGGCGAAAGAGCTAGGCGTCACGTATACAAACGTGGTGGAGATGGCAAGGTTGGCCATTCAGCTACCATCCCTGGGTATAGAGCCTAGTCCCGCCTTGGGATCAAACTTCTCCTGGGGGCCATTCGCCTAACGAGATTGCTTTGGTAAACGCTATCGCTTACGATTTCATTTTGTTATTTCTAGCCACCTGAGGTTTTCAAATACCAACGCTCATTTTCTGTAATATTGTTTATTACAGAAAATGAGCGTGGGTATTTGAAAACCTTCGGCGGTCAGAAATAACAAAATGAAATCGTAAACGATAACGTTTTCCAAAGCAATCCCGTTAGGCGAATGGCCCCCTGGTCCCCGGGCCCGACAGTGCCGACAAAGCTGATGCCTTAGTTAAGCGTCTTGGCAAAGTGGTGATGGAGTGTGCCGAAATAAGCAGGCCGGAGAAGACCGTCGACCTACAGATATCCGGGCTAAGTGAGTCTTTGACTTTAAAAGAGGTTGCGGAAGCGGTGGCCACCAAGGGGGGCTGCCCTCCTAGTAAGGTTACGGCGGGAGGAATCTATTCTAGGCCGAGAGGCACAGGGGTCTCCATTCAGTGCCCTATATGAGCCGCTAGAAAAGTGGTAGAAGGGGACAAAATAAAGGTGGGCTGGAGCCTCACTCGCGTGACCTCACCTACGCACTACTTCAGGTGCATGGACATGGGCATGACATAGGAGCACCATGAGCTTCAGGTACGGAACAGTGGGACACAAGGCGGTGACATGTGCCGCGCCCCGCTGCGCTATATATCCGGACAGTGGCTGGCCACATTATGGGGAGTAGGAGGTGCGATCCTCCTGCTACTAAGGGCAAAGCCCCTGGCGAACAGATCGCTGAGTCCTTGGCACCCGGACGCCCTCAGAGGGGGAGATATCTGAGTAGTCAAGGCTGCTCAAACTCTTCACCGACTACTGTCTTCCCTCCCATCTCTTAGGAGAAGGGAACGGGAGACGCAGGCGACCGGGAGAGAGGGCGCCTACCGCTGCACCAACGGAGGGGAAAAGGGACGGGGAGAATTACGCTCCCTCTCCCGCTCCTCCGGGAGCCAGCGGGCTGGTGAGGGAGCGCCAGTCTGCATTGAACGGTTCCTGTGATGTGTGGTGCCTCTGATGCTCCGGGAAACCGCACGTCTCGGGGTGGGTCCGGTATCGGACAATCACCGGCGGTGCCACGGAGTACTCCTTTCCCGCAGTTTGATCCCGCACTCCCGACACGCATTTCCAGGACTGCGGTCCTCGGAATTGCGCGTCGGGTGACCAGTGCAGGAGTATTTTCTTGTTTTTTAGTCGAGCTCTGGAGTTGGGTGAAATGGGTAGGGAGGAGTCCACATATATCCTCGTAGCGAAGGAAGGCGTCAAGCCTTTTCAGATATGAAAAAAAAATGGGCTGTGCACGTTTAATGGAACTGCAGTCACTGTGACCTGAAAGATCTATTGTAACTCGCCACCAACGTTGAAGTGATGTTTTCATCAAGACTGCGTAGTTGTCAAGTAGCCTGACAGCTCCAAGAAACTACAACTTACTGCAATGAATTTATTGGTGTTGATTTCAACATGACAAAAAAATGGAAAATATGCTGTGACCTTAACACTCCTTTCCATGCGCAAAATCGTCTTCAAATGAGATACCTACAACTGTTATTTCATTTAATAATCTAATATAGTAATGAGTAGGTACTAAAGTAACTTCTCATTATATATTTCTGAAGACAGCATGTGCGATTGCTTACACCAGAACATAATCATTTGATTATAAACGGTTTAAACACGGTGGTTTGATAGTTCATATTTTTTTCAGTTAAGTTATAAAATTATCTACCGCTATTTATCCATTTACTTTAATGTCTGATGATTAGGTACTATAAGTTAATCGCTTTGATTTTATAATCCTCATTTTATTGTTTAGACTTAATCTGTAATCGATGCACGTTGTACTTACTTCGATCCAAATATTAAAATCAACCCAACAATGGATTCTGAACTAAAGTATGTTACATCCTAAAATTACTAATTTTATTTAGTGAAGCTGTAAGTACGAGTAAATCAAACATTTGGCTTTTTCACAGAGAAAATAGATTCCCAACCATTGCATTTCTTCATAACAAAATCGTAAAGAACCTCTTAATGCCACTTGGTGGGTGGCCATGCGAAGTGTTTCAAGAGAAAACGCCTCTGATCTCTCGTTTTTTTCGAAGGTTTATTCCAATACAAGGAATGGTTATGATCTGTGGGGAATTGAACTATATAAGATATAATTACAGTCGATTGAATTTTTTCTTACTTGGACATATTTATATTACTATGTTTCTAACGTTCGTGATGCTGGTAAGTAAAATTTATTGAATTCATTATCGTTTAGCTATCAACCGAAAATTAACGTGGAGCAATCACATTCATAATATGATACAGAAGGCTAAAATCGTCCTGTGGACTTACACTGCCATCGTAAGGCCCATAATAACATACGTCTTTTTTTATTTTTTATAACGCAGGTAAAAAATCTTTTTACAAACGACGGCGCCTTTAAGAGGCTCTCCGCCAAACGGACCTCACACCTGGCTCCCTCAAGTCTTACGGACCCCCCGAGGACCCCCCAACTGTTACGGGCGCTTTACAGCATAATATCGGTTAAAACAGTCCTGCGAATACGTCTACACTGCTTAGTGCGGAGCCGCAGGGTCCCCGTTAGGGATTCTACCACGGCTCCGCCCCCAGCAGCTTCCCGGCCTCGCCGGGGCTCCACGGCAGGGGTCTCCCGCGGTATTTCGGGGACCCCGCAGACGTGCGCAGGTAGGCCCGCGCGTGGGGGCTGGGTACGCGGCCTACTGCCCACCATACCGCCCCCCATCCGCTGCGGAGGGGACTCCTGGGCGTACCCGTCCAAGAACCCCCCGCCACCCTCCCTTTGTGGGGCAAAACTATAAGTGGGGGGGCCGCCGTTCCTGGGAGGGGGGCCTCCCGGTCACCCACGTCTCCCCGCGTCTTCTCCTAGGAGAAGAGGGGGGAAAGGCGGGCGACAGCATTCGTGGGAGGTCCGAGCGGCCGAGGCTACTCGGACATCCCCCCCTCCGAGGGCGTCCGTCCGGGCGCCGCCTCAGAGACCACTTGCTCGGGAGGCCTGCCCTTGGTGACCGGCGGGTCACACCTCCCACTCCCCATTATATGGCCATTTAAAACAGACACTAAGAATTCACGAAAATACTATTATTTTATGTGTATAAAAAAACACGGCGTAACTAAGCAACGTCTTTACACCAATACATGTAGAAACACACTAAACGCGTAAGCGCGCTATGCTTACTGTATGGGCGAAGAGGGGATGTGAAGGGTGCGGAAAGGGACCACCGCACCCGGCGGCAAGATGTGTTTTGTCGTTATTTAGGGTCTCAGGTATAAGAATCCGGTCATAGTTGCCGTCACTCACATTTTGCATACTCAACTACCTCCAGCGCCTGCACTATTATCCAATCTCGCCGCCGCTGTCAACTTTCGCAGGGCCACATCCAAGATTCTCATCGTCTCCTCTGTTCTTTGGAGGGTGCGCTCAGCAACCCTGTCGCTTAGTTGGTACTTTTCCACCATGCTGTCGATGTAATTCATTCGCTGCTCAATCGAGAATCTAATCTCCTCAGCTGTGAGAGTATCCATCTCCTCCGGCTTGATAAAATTTCTTGCCATGCCCTCCGCAGGGGAATCTGGAGAAGCCTTACGCTTCGCTTTCCCCTTACGGGTCACGCTCGCCTTTGGGGGCATCGGTTTCAAGCCCATCCCATTGTCGGCGTCCCCTCCGCCTCTCAGCCGCAGGACCATTCCTCCTTCCAACGCCTCGGTAACCAATTTACCACTGCGGGACCCGGTAATCCCGTAGCGCCGGTGGCCAGCCGGAGCGCATTGGCCGCTAGTGACATACTTCTCACCCTGGGGCCCAGCTACCCCAGAGCGCCCGTCGTCAGCAGGAGCGCATGACGTACTACATTCAGTAAACGACATTTCTCATTATTTTCCCTTTTCCGGGCGAGGGAACCTTACCTGGCCTCGTCAAGGGTCATTTTTGAAAAGGTTTTCTTCCTTGTAGCCCCCGCCCCGAAAAGCGGCGACCCCCGGTCCCACACCACGTGCGGGGTTACGGGTTGGCCGGAGGCGACGCGGAGTTCGCGCCGCAACCGCCCTCACCGATGGCGTTCCCACCTCGACCTGTAGAGTCTCGACCGCCGCTACCCGGGCTACCTAGGGCGCCGGCCGAGAGACCCCTCGGGTGATTTTTTAGAGAGGTTGTCTTCCTCGCAGCCCCCGCCTCCAAGGGAAACAGTTCCTTTGCAGGCGGCGGCTCTCGGTCCCGCACTATGTGCAGGGATACGAGTTTGACTCGACTGCCGCTACCCGGGATACCCAGGACGCCAGCTGAGACCACCCCCGGGTAATTTTTTAGAGAGGTTGTCTTCCTCAGCAGCCCCCGCCTCCAAAGGAAACAGTTCCTTTGCAGACGGCGGCCCTCGGCCCCGCACTACGTACGGGGTTACGAGATTGTCGGCTATTCGACACGACCGTAACAGCACCCTCAGAGGGAGACATTACGCAGATGCCCGGGATGCACCGTCCCGAACCCATTTCCGTTCCCCTATCATGACTGACCAGGGACAGGAAATGGACCGGGCACACGAGGAAGTTTCCGACGTAGCACCCCATAATAACATACGCCTGCGTAAAGGGATGGAAAAAAGCACACTCAAACAACAGTCATCAACAAGCTTAATAGCTTGCAAAGAATAGTATGCCTTATGGCAACCGGTGCTGTCTTTAACGCCAGGTGATGCACTTAATGCTTTGCTCTGACTGATACGTGCGAGAATTGACTAATCTAAAACTTTGTTAGTTTGTTTGTAACTGATACGTGCAAGAATTGACAAATCTTAGGCTGGAAACAGTGCTCGACCGACGGTACGTCCTGACCGTACGTCTTGACCGTCAGCGCTGACCGTCGGTTGCGAAAATGCATTCAGTGCTACGCTGACTGCGAACAGCGACGCGTGTGTACAGTTCACGGAAAAATTAACCCTTTTGCTGTAATATGTGCAGGCTATTTTTTGCGCAATCAATTCTTTACACTTCTTGCCAAGCACTTATTTCAGTATCACGGTCTTTATAAAATACATACGATAAATTCCATATGTATTATGACCATAGGACGAAGCAGCACTTTAGAAATACCAGTTTTCATAGACTTGCATAGATATAGCCGACCGACGGTCAGCGATGACCGTTTCCAGACTGTTCCCAGACTTAAACTTTGTAAGAGGAAGTGACCCACATGTGGTGCGTGGATGCACCACCTGTGGTGCCCTATCTTAATCGTAAAATGCCCCACAGGTAATTCACACGGAACGTGTTAAGATCTTGGTAGCATAGCGGTTCCTATTATTTTAAAGTCATGTTTGAAACCATTTTATGCCTTGACCGAGTTGAATTTATTTTAGTAAAAAATTTCTTCAATTTTTCCTTATTTCCAAAGGAATTTTATTTGGTACCTAATAAAAATTATATTATGTATTTTAGGTGAGGGCTGTTCTTCCTAATCAGCAGTTATATAAAGACATGGTAGAATTTTTTTATGGGAAATTTGATTTGGAACACTTTAAACATAAAGGACCATACTATCAAAAGGTGAAATAATTTAACTTTTAATTATTTAACCTATTTAAATCGTAAGTTGCACCTAACACGATCCGTGTATGCACGGGCCGCCCCTGCGGCCTTAGTTATTGCGAGACCCTGGGCGATCTTTGCGGGACCCTTTTTACCACACTTCGCCGAATGGATAGTTTTTTTTTTAAAGTTGTTGATGATAAGTAATGATGGAGTCCAGACGCGGAGATAGCTGGTACGGCAGTTTTACCTACGACACCAGCCATCCTCACCTTGCCGGCCTGCAGTTGCTTCTTCACGCCTCTTTTATAGGATCCCGGGTTATAGGGGCGACACGTAAGCGGGCAAAGCATTCCATTTGCGGATCGCGCAACACAGTCACAGTAAGTCGATGACAACGTCTGACTTGTTAACTGAAGGAAAGGGGAAGGTGGGATAACGGACATAATTTCTTAAAACACTCGCCGAGCTATAGACGATAGAATGCGCTTAACGCTGCCACGCCTCGGCGCAATTGAAGAAGCTTGAGGTTTTTAGTCACCTCCTGATCGCCATTGATGCGGGTAGAGCACCGCTACAACCTATCCAAAGTATCGAGTAAGTACTTGGAGAAGCCATTTCAGATGTGTAAGCAATATTCCACGCAGAATCGCACTTGCATCTTGTACAACAAGCACACTTAATCGGGTGTGAAGAAAGGTAGGTTAAATTAATTGGTTGTTAAATTTATAGGTATATTTAGATGTTTTTCAAGTGTATTTATATTTTTTTGGCACGCTCTGTGGTCTAAACGGTTTGATTATTTTAGGCTTGGGAGGTGTAGTTAGTTTCTTCTTAGCTGTGAAAGTGACATTCAGTATATTAAAATTATTAAAAATAATATTACGTAGCACAAATGGTCTTCAAACCAGAAAATCTCCCGAAAATGCATCTTCATGTAGACCTAGATAAATCAAGAAATATTCTTGGATATTTGTTTCTTAGGTTTTCACGCACATCACTCATTAAATCAAACTAGTTTTAACGGGTTAATGTCAATAAATAAAGTTATTAATTTATTGACGTTTTGCAGCCTTTTCAGGTCTGCATCGTCAGAATAATGATTTTTTATTTACTTTGTCGAGCTACCTTCGAGAGCTACCGGCGAAACAAACTCAGAGAGGCTTTCTATTTTTCTTATCTTATCTTCACTGACTAACTACTCCTGTACTTTACAATTACGTGGAAATTATGTGTGGACTTTTATACTTTTCCACATTTAATTCCATCCCTAATATCAACCATGGAATTAATAAATTTTATTATGGCAAAGATGCAGTTATCGAAATACCTGAAGGATCGTACGAACTTCAAGATATTTGTGATTTCCTCAAAATTAACGTAAAAAAAAACGCTAAAATGAAATTGTAAAAATACTTTAAAAACGAGCTTATTCTGTTCCGAAGATGTTTATTTTAATAAAAGTGACTCAAATGGTTAAACAATTGGGTTTTGGTGTGGAAACAGTGCAGGCTAATATTAGAACTGAGTCTCCGTATCCTGTCAACATTCTATCAACAACTATCATACGCATCGAATGTGATGTTATAAGTGGATTATTCGTGAATGGAAACTTCTTAGTGGGGAATAAATTGTATACCCAAGAGGCAGTTCAACATGTCTTTGAAGGATTTGTTGCCTTCCGTCCAGCAGAGTTTTTCAAAAAGGGCTGCAATAAGTCACCACTACGTTGGCAAAAAAATAATTGATTGCATAGGTAATTACTTTGATAGTAAATAATAAAAAATAAAGGGAAAAAATGCGTTAACTTATTTCATGAAAAACGGCAATTTCATAGGTAGACCTAATAATATTATTATATACTTTTCTGTCTATTGTATTATCTGACAAACTGTGTGTAGTTATGTTGTCCATGTTGGAAGGTTTTCTCCCCTTTCTGAAGAACACTTCAGAAATACAGGATAACATACCACGCTTTTGCGAGAGCATCAAAACAGCATGAAAGACTTTTTGAAGCTCCAGCATTTAGATTTATTAGTTGTTATTCTCCAGGTTAGCTATCTGAGAGCCTTTTTGAATTTGTCTAGGCAGATTTCTGGCATGGTTTTTGTAAAGTGGTGGGTAAATTCGAACCGAGTGTCCTCATTTCCGGGATCCGTAAAATTGTGTTAGTGTTAGAAATATTTATTTATTTTAAGTTTTGGACAAACACTTCCGTTCCTCAAAGAGCAGAAGCCCTCAATCGCTGTTGTCTCTGAATGGAGCGCCGTATCAGCTAAGCTATTTTCTATTAAGTACCCGATATTCTGACAGTTTTGTGGGTTTTCACCATTTTCACGTCGTTCCGTTATTGTGCCAACTGCAAGGTTGCCAAGGTGGGGAGTTATGGCGTAACTTAGGGATTCTTAGAATACTCTACCCTGCCATTACTATGATCAGGAGTAGCAGGCTGGCCGGGAACTGGAGAACGTGGTACGTTCAGGATGGCCATGGAGGATTTGCCTATAATTGTCACGTAGAGCAGGCGGGTTGGCGATCGTAGTCACAGTACGCAGCTGGACTTACCGATCTGTGAGATTTAGCACGTAAGTTATGGATGTTAATATCGCCATCGTTCAGTTGGCAGAGCCTCGTTCGTTATCCCGCAGGATGATCGCGCACAGGTGAGGTTGAATTAAAGAATTGGTTATTATATCGCTCTCATACATCCCCTTGTTTTTGCCCTGATTAGATGGAATTTTATACGAAGAAGAGTGAAAAGCTCGAGTCAAGCTGGGTGCCGATCTGTTTCCTATCCGATATAAGTTCGTACCCAAACCAATGCCTAGATTTCAGTCATAGGCTTCATGGATGTGTACATAATCCATTATCGGCGACATGCTCGGCCATCATCGGCCAAACAAGTTCAATCAAATCAAGAAATCAAACGTATGTAAAAGAAACATAGCAGTTCCACCAATTACGGATCAGCTGTATCCGAAGCTGTTTCATTCAATCGACCGATGACGCCCGAGCATTGTTCGGCCGATAACAGGTAAGGGTGCATCCGAGTCCTTTGACATAGCTGTGGCCTGAGAATTATCTATATATATACATATTATTATAGTTACTTATTTTATCCATAAGGAGAAATCTAACAGTAGAGAACGTGATGTTTGTCGTTATTTTCACACATTTTATTAAGGAACTTTTATTTTCCACAGGCAAGCGAAATGGTGTATAAAATATCTTATTATTACGGCCTCGTAATGACTGGAATGATGATTTGTGGCATGTTCCTTTACAACGCTCTACCGCTGTACCATAATTACAATGCGGGTGTTCTCCATAAAAGGAATCGTGTTGAGAATGCAACCCTTGAGTTTTCGGTCTATTTCATTTTCCCCGGATTCATGCCAGAAAACCACTTTTGGTCGGTGACCTTTGTGAATCTGTACTTCACTTACAGTTGTAGTGTTGAAATTTGTATCATCGACTTATTCATGGCATTGTTCGTATTCCATATGGTTGGGCACATTATGATATTGCTTAATAATATCGAAAATGTAGAAATGCCTAAAACTCATTATAACATCGAAGGATTAAAAGCACAAACTAGTGTTACAGTAGCATTGTACAACGATGAAGAAAATGAAATAATGAGAAGCAAAATAATTGAATTCATAAATCATCATAGATTCATAGTAAGGTAACAACATAACCTCTTTTTTATACTTATAATTACTAAACTGCTTGATTTGGTAGCTACTTAGTAATTCATTGAAATATTATTCTAGTAAGTAGTTAATTTGGTGTATGATTTGCGCAAAGAATTAAGGATATTAGAATTAAAATGTAGGTGTTTAATAATGGAAATTACAATGTTTCAGTTTCGCCGACGACGTCTCTTCTTTATTTGGTCCTGTGTTGGCAAGCACTTACATGTTTCATCTAATTAGTTGCTGCCTTTTGCTGCTGGAGTGCTCCCAATTAGTATGTTAAAATTTTACTTAAAACAGCCTTTTGGTGATTCCATACCCATAGGGATGATGACGGGGTAAAGTAAACGGAATTCCATTGAGTCCGACAGTTAGATTCTCAAAAAATAATGGACACTCCTTTATTTCATTTGTCAATCAACCAAAGATAAAGCGTGTTAAAGTTTGGGAAAGTTAGTCATCATCTCTATTACAGCACGCAAGCTGTAACATTTTCCGTATGGAATCCTGTGCCAATTTCAAATTTCATTGAAATATTGAATACTAGCCCGCGACTTATCCCCATTAACTTAAGTTTCGCGCTACTTTCTAAAATTTTCCGGAAATTCAACTACAATGTATTAGAAAACAAAAACCATAAAAAATATATGAAATCAGTAAAGTCGTTCTCAACTGACCTGTGAACTGTGGTGTGACCATGTGACTTAGAAAAAGAAGAATGAAATTAGAAATTTTGATATGCTCACAAGAATTTGCAAAGGCTTACCTTCTTTTTGGAGCAGCAGCTTATCATCCGAACAGACTCTGTCACAAGAGCCACCCAGCGCAGAGCTCAGATAGGTGGATACTCCACCCAATGCTGCACTCCAACCTTCAAATTTCCGCTCATTCACTTGGTATTTCTTTATAATATTATTAATAGATTTTACAGAACTTTCGACAGTATAGACGAATAGTTTTATGACAATAAAGTTTCTGCTCAAAATCTACAATAGTGTTGCCAGTACCGAAACTAAAATTTACGACTTTATTTTTTATAAGTTTAACTAAACGAGTTTGATGAAAAAATAACTCTTAAGTTCTTAGATTTTATTTAGGATTTAAATAAATTTCAATTAATGATAAAATTCAACACAAAACTCCAAAACCTCGAAAGCCTTCAATATAAAACCGCTTCGAAACCCTTGAAAACAGCGATCTTGGTGCGTACCGCAGGGTCTATTAGTAGTAGTAGTATTAATGGATGGAACTCATGAAACAGCGGAACAAAATGAGACTAATAATTCAGGAGATGCAAGCCAGTACCGGCGGCTCAATAGATTGATATCACAGTCCCTGACGAGCAACCTTTGCCGATTTGAAACGACGATCCGTTTCCGTTATCCGATCAAAGAGGTTATCGAGCGGAACAAAGTGTTCGGCTCGATAGTGAGAAGTGTCTATTGGGCAAAGCCTAAGCTAAGTCTGAAAACGGTAGCATCATATCGTCTAAGGCTGAAATCCTGAGGGATATTGAGGGTTTCTATGGATATATTCCACACAAGTAAGTACCTATTGAAAGCAAGGCTTGAAGCCCCAGAGCCACGCTTGCTCGACACTACACCCATGATATCCCAGACATCAGCCAGTATGAGATTAGTATGGCTCCCAAACAACTTAAAAACAGCAAGGCAGCGGGAGATGATGGAATCACAACAGAACTTCTGAGAGCGGGCGGTATAAGCTGATACTTAAAGTCCTCCAGAAGTTTTTCCATCATCCTCGAAGGCAGAGCGCCGAAAGCATGGGACAGAAGTAAGTTTGTCCTGTTCTTTAAAACGTGTGACAAGTCGCTCTTAAGAAACATTCGAACAAACTCACTTCTGAGCTACGTTTATAAGTTGTTTTTCAAAAGTCATTACAAATCGTCTTCAACGCAGACTTTACGACTTCCAAGTCTTCCAATCTCCCGAACAAGCCGGTTTTTGTAAATTTTGACTATATTCATAAAAAAATATATATTCATAATAATACTATAATATGCCACTTTGCTTGGTGTTCGTGGACTATGTGAAAACCTTTGTTGACTGTATTGAGACCTGGGCGGTGTTACAGTCACAGTGTTAAAAGCTACCCTTACGAAAACGCCGCTAAGTCAGTTCGATTACAGAACCAGAGCTCTAGTCCTATGCTCTGGATCGGCAATCGGACGTACTGTACTCCATATGCAAATACAGCGCGGCGTGAAATAGATGTAACATGTCTGAAACTGTTCACGGCTGCATTAGACTATATTTTCAAGCTTCTGGAGCAGTGGCGTAGCGTAGTGGGGGCGGCAGGGGCAGGCCGCCCCGGGCGGCACTTCTTAGGGGGCGGCAAAATTTTACAATAAATAATAAAAATATTTCAACTATTTAAATAAGAGGGCGGCAAAATTGTCCTTCGCCCCGGGCGGCCGACACCCACGCTACGCCGCTGTTCTGGAGTGGAAAGGAGGCATGGCATCAACATTAATAGCGAGTACTTTACTAACCTTTGTTTCGCCGTTGATCAGGGCCGGACTGTGAGTTTAGGGGGCTTTGGGCTAATACTACTTAGGGGCCCACCTAAATACTCAAAGTATAGAAAATGAGGCTGTAAAATATTTAATTTAAATAAATTGACAAATTAAAACCTTTCCGCACTTTCCTTTAGCAAATTCTTAAAGGACATTGCTCGTTCCCCATACATTGAATGCCCTAGAACGCCCAGCAATGAGAAAATGCTAGTTGTGTTCGGAATCATTCATAAACTCTAAATAAGCATTTGTTGAGATACGGACAACTTGAGGAACCGTGGCCTACTACAGAATGTATTAGATTTTGAGGTTATAATTAGTATACTTAATCATAAAAGATGTACACTTTATATATTCTGAATAGATTTAGTGTTTACCCCTATGTAAGCACTTAAATAATATGCATTAAATGAACATAAAATGCAATTTATAATAAAAATAATAAATGCTTATATTCTTATTGATTTTACCTGTAGTAAGTAATGATAGATTTCTTTTCAAATGAAATGTTCAGTCTTTCCATTTACCTGTTTCTATATTTTACTAACGGTAATTAGGTAATGTACCTGGTTACCATTACGATTTTCATAAAAATAAACAAATATTACATGGGATGGGAGTATAAACTATCTTTAGATAATTTTAGAAATAATCTTTTTATAAATATAATATAAATACTAGTAATAAGTATTATTAACTAAGGTACCTAGTTCTATTTTTATGTTGATAAATACCTATGGTCGCCTATATTGCATAACTAAGGTAAACAATCTTGGCACAACTTTTTAACAGAATCACCCATTTAATAATAAAATATTAACGAAGAAAATAAACTATTAAAATAAATCGTTATTATAGACTGAAACCTATTGAATCCAGTTATCAGTTGATTTTTAATGCTGTATTTTCAATAAAAAGGAGTGCCTAGTTGGATGAACAGACTGTAGTGTCTAGTAAGAGAACTTTTATTTTTTAAACAGATTGTCCGTTTACTATGATTAATTGCTAATAAGTTAAAAAAATAATAGAAAAATAATAGTGAAGGACATTCTTTTGGGCATGCTAGGGCCGAATTCGTCGATGTCCTTTGCTTCTCACATTCTAGGTTCTTAGTTAAATCAACATTTATGGACAAAAAGAATAAATAGTTAAGTCGTAAGTTTGACATCGTCGTTCTGTATTTATTCTATACACATCATCGCGATAATAACCGTATATAACCATTAATAATACGGTTATTACAGGCGTATACGGGCGCTTTCGTTTGATAGAAATACATACCGGGAGTTCAGGGTTAATAAAATTATGGATTGTTTGCATTATCGTCTATTTTTGACTAAACTTGACATAGCTGGGGGCCCTTTGAATCCACGGGGCCCTGGGCTGAAGCCCAATAAGCCATATGGTAGATCCGGCCCTGCCGATGATGTAGTAGCGTAGCTAATGGCTGAGACCTTGGAAGATCTGAAAATGATGCTCGGATATTTTAGTAATGCCAAATCCTAAAGAGTGAGCCTTTATATGAACATGGATAAGGCGGTTCACCCACTGCAGCGCGCTACGTCACGTAGCGCGTGAGCGTAGCTTTTAACGTAGTATGCAAGTTTCTGAGTTCGTATAGAAATCCCGGGACCTACCACACACTGATCATGCGTCAGAGCGCAGTGGCACGATATCAGCTTTCCGCACAATATACATTATTTTAGTCAAGGTTTGGGTTAGGTTTATTGAGTTCTTCTCAACAATATCAATGAAAATATTCATAGTTAATCAAAATTGCGAGTTTATTGGTTGTTACAAAACAAAAGAGTTACATGTGGTGTTAAACTTAACTAAGGAGTGACTTTAGATGTTGAAGCGTGGCACTGCATGTCCTCAGCATACTTTTCATAAGATGGTACATAACCACTGAGTACTAATCGCAAGCATGATGACATATTAATCAATCAATCAATCAAAATCATTTATTCAGTTTAGGCTGTTACAAGCACATATGAATGTCTAGAAGCTACGCCATCGGTTCGTAAATCTACGGCGGGAGACCTTGTACTGAGAAGAACCGGCAAGAAACTCAGCAAGGGCTGTTTTTTTCTCCCTGTTTTATCATTTACACAGTCGTCAGGTTGAAAAATGACTTCAGAGATGATTCATGAAGTCACCCTTCATTACATAATGTGAAATTATACATTAATTGTACACCTGCATTTTGATTGCTGTGTCACACAGTATAAATACAAACAGAGTTATTTATAATAGGTGTAATTAAACATTTACATCTTAAATATCAAAGTAGTTAGGGCAGACTCATCTCCGCTGGCAGCACCCGTTCACGAGCATGACGCATGAACCAGCCATCGCTTCGCTCAACCATATTTTAGGGAACGTAACGACCCGCCTCACACGACACCACCGAAGAGACTTTTAAGAGAGCATGACTACCCATAACCACCTATATCAACCACAACATATTTACTTAAACTTAAAGTCATTTATCTGTAGGACACTGCAAACAATTAAAAAGCAAAAACAATGGAGAAATCATGACCACGCCGTTATGATCGTCAGTTAATCGATTTCGATATTTTGACTTAATTATCTTCATTTCAGAAAATGCAGACTCGCACAAGTAAGTTGACCCAAACATTGGCGTCAGTTGAAGGGCGATTTGCCTTAGATTCGGATATTTATCTTCAGATATTTATCACCAGAAATTTGTATCAGATGCTGTAGCTTTGAGATATATATCT